TGAGGTTACCGAAAATCTGGTCAGGACCGAAAGTGCATAGTGGGTCAGGTCGGGGCAGCCCTGCCACGGGGTTCGGTGCAGTCGACGGGCACGCTGGGAGGGGACGAAAAGAAGAGCATTTTGGTCTCGAGATTCAGTAACGGGAGGATTCAGTTCGGTTTGAAGGCAGATGCAGGTCGAAATCTCGTCTCGCCGTCTTGCTTTTCTGCAAGTCAACCTATCCTTGATCCTGCAACGTAGCAATCTTAGGCATCATCTTGAGAAAAGACACGGCAGGGGATCTAGTTGACAAGGAGATCAAGGTCTGGGGTCTTGACAATTGAGGTTTTTGAGATTGAAATCAAGGGAAGAGCGACGGCCAAAAATAATCCCCTCCCTTCTCGCGGGTCAAACGTCGAATGTTCGATATCCGATATCCGATATGCGACATTAAGGGAAGCATATTCTTCCCTGCCCAAAGGCTCCGTGGCTTGGGAAAGGTAGGATTGCAAATCTGGTCCTTTCCAAAGAGACAATTAGCAGAGTCTTGTCCGAGAGAGAGAGGCGAGCAGATTGGGATGTTCACGTGTTGGGAATCTCAGTCGGCTGCTGCTCCAGAGATGCCAACGAAACTTTAAGGTGGGCACGCTTAAGTAGAAAGACAAGTGATAGAGCGGAATCCGAGTACACCGTCTCGATCATGAACAGAGCAGCAACCTGTCCCTGCTTGGATTGCTCAGTGTTTGCTGTTAGGTTGCTAACAGGACAGAACCCGCCATCCGTCTGCATAAATGCCAGGCAAACCCTCAGTAAACCCATTTCTGGACCAACATCAAGGCTTCAAATGCGTTGTTCTAGAACTCACGTGCCCACGTTGGTCCAGATCCAGGTTAGCTCAAACGAGCCCTGACCCACGTCGCGGATCCAGGTTTGGAGGTACAGGTTTGAGCGGTACCGCTTGTCGCCACCGAAATCGATTCCGGTGAATTCCGGTCGGGGCCACGAAAGGAGCGCCACCCCGTCTCCCCCGGGGGAGACTTGGCTGCACGGGGAAGACAACCGGGCACTTCAGTCGGCGAAATAATCAGCTCACTTGCAGCAGGAACACTGCTTGAGAACTGAGAGTTGTTCGTGTAAGGATGAGGGGAGTGACGAGGAGCAAGAGTTCCTTGCCCGCTTATGGAAGCAAAAGGGTGGAAAGGGATAGGACGTACAGGGAGCCTTAAGAGTATAAATAAGAGGAGATTCTATAACGAAAGACGAGATCCGAACGATCCTTGTGCAGGATTGAAACAGACGAGTTGGTATCGAGGGGCGAGTCACAGAAACCGTGATGAGAAAATGGTCCTAGAGCGAGCAAAACTCTTCAGATTTGTGGGCACTGCTTTTGAAGAAGAGCAAACCCATCTTTGTTGCATCCAGTGAGACGTTGACTGAACGCTGCTCCCCAATCAGAAGAAGCAGAAATATAATCTCAAGTCGAGGTGCAAGTTTGCAAGAGGCAGAGTCCTTATTTGAAAGTGTCTCCCCAGAAACAACCGTTTCCTGTGGTTATCCCCGTTCCTTTCTGCGAATATCGAAGAGACTTTGTCATTGACTGGAGTACTCCTAAGACACGCAGTGTTTGCTTGGGTTAACAAAAACCCGGTTCCATGATTGGGTTGCGAGTGCTTACTTGCCGAGCAGCGGAGCATAGGTCGGTCCGTTTCCGCCCGCCTGATGGAAGTTCCACTCACAAGGAACCGGAGGGTTACCGCACAAAGCGTTGCTGAGGCCGGTGTTATAAGCTATGCTCTGGATGACGCGGTCCGTAAACGCGGCGAACGAAGCTGCCGCGGGGCCGATCAGATTGGCACCGTTGAAGCCGTTGCTGGTTGACGAGAGGTAGTAGATCTGCGTGAGTGTCAAGAGCGCGTGTAAGTTGGTGGCGAGGTGGCGAAAGGCTGCATGGGCTATGGCAGAAGATTATACGCTCTTCGAGCCACGTCCTGATGTGCTTACGGAATCACTCGGGATTGACTTTGCTATTATCGTCTTGGTGTTGGTGCCTTTGTTTCTCTTGTTGGTTCAAACTTGTCACTATGAACGCAGCGCAACTCATCCGTACTGGACAATTCCTTACACGACAAAAGCGCTCTCCTTTTCCATTGTTCCTATTCCTCCCCCACCCCCTCCAAACGCTCTCTTCCCTGCCCCCCGTTCCGATCCGGATCGTCCACTGCGCGCCGTCCCCGCACGCGGACGTGTGCTCGAGCGTCCGGAAAAACGCTTGGCCGTTCCTCTAATAAGAGCAAAAAAAAAAGGCAAAAACGTTTCATCTTTCGAAACTCCCGCTTCTAAACGCGCTCTTACCTGCCCCCCCGTTCCGATCCGGATCTTCCACTGGGCGCCGTCCCCGCACGCGGACGTGTGCTCGAGCGTCCGGAAGAACGCCTGGTCGTCCGAAATGCCGACCGAGACCACTGGCGGGCTGTTGCTCGTGCCGATCACCGTACACGTGGCGGCCGATCCGCCTGCCGACGTGGCAAACGGCGACGGCAGGTAGAAGTAGCTGTTGGTGACTTGCTTGCCGGCGACAGTGCCCCCGCCGGCGCTGTTCTGGGGGGTGTTCGGGTTAGCGACGCCAGTGCCAGACTGGCCCCCCCCGGAAGCTGCAAATCGAGAATTTGACGATCTCTACTCTCCGGAAACTCACGATTGCTTTTAGGGCCGCTCGGTTTGACGTGAGCACCAGGGGAACGTGTTGCGTTTGATCAGCGGTTAGTGTGGGTATGGGTGCGGAGCGCGTGATAATCTGGGTTAGAAATTTCTGTTCAAGTACCCAACGCTTATGTATCATGGAACAATCTTCTGCATGTCATTACAATCTAAAATCACCAGAATCATGCCTTCGACAAATGATCTGAAATCGACACACGTGTCTGGTCGTATACGTCATCTGGGTGAAGAACGCGTCGGGGGGGGTCGGTTGTGGCCAGTTGATGTTGAGGAGGCACCCCCGTCGAGGCTCAAATTATGAAGGAGGACAGAGATGACGTGGCAATCAAACAAACGAACAGAACGTGCCTGAAGCGCACTGATGGCAGTTCCTAGTCCTTGATCATAGCAGGGCTTTCGCTGCATGAGATTTGCACGGATGCCAGATCTTGTACGACGGGATTCGTCGAAAATCAAGCGGAAATTCTCGATTCAAAGCTCGCTCCTTCCACCATCGGAGTGGGTCAGCAAAGCCCCTTGCTAAAAAGCTCGGAAAGATTGGACACGCGACATTGAGTAGACAGTATTGAACCGCACTCGAGATGCAGGGTTTTTGAAAATCAGGGAGGGGCCCTTGAATGTCACCGCAAAGAGCCAACGCAGCCAATTGGATCCTTTGCAAACGGAGGAGAAGTAAGCGTAATAACAGATTACCAGCCCCACAAGAAGGTATCAGCTCAATATTTCATCGGAAGATCCATCGGCACCTCCGAGGAAACTGTCTTCGCAGTTCTCAACCCCAGCGGTTTCCGGATGTTGACAGCGTCACTCAATAGTGTGGTGGAGAGAAGGACTGAAGAAAGCAACGAGTCGAAGCAACAAGGCGAAGGGAAGATGGTCGTAAGAAAGTGGAACAAAAATCCGGAGCGGAATCAGCGGACAAGCGGAAGAGCCAACCTTGGAGGAGGCAGACAAAAGAAACTCCAAATTGGGGGATCCCCTCACCTGACGGTCGCGTGGACGTGGGGGTCTTGTACGGCTTGTCCGGCAGGGGGGTGATTAGATTACGCCCAGCGGAACTAGGGGGCGGGAAGTTTTCATTGCCGACGAATCCCGTTGGGGGGGGGTTGCCGCACGCGGCCCCCGTGGTTTCGACACAAGAAGCGTCCGGGGGCGCTGAGGTCGGAGTCGGGTTTGGGGTCGGGTTTGGGGTCGGGTTTGGGGTCGGGTTTGGGACACCGGGGGATCCCCCGGGGCAGGAGGGAGTGGTGCCGGGGGAGGAGGAGCATACCCCGGAGCAGCAGATGAACTTGGAGCCGTCGGATCCGTAGCACCTGCGGTAGAGTTCCAATTCTATGCTTCAACGGAACTATTGTCCCTGCAATGAGGTTCGACTTATGAATTATAAGCTCCGTGGAGGGGAGGATTATTCTACCAAGCAAAGAAGGACTGAAGTCCGGATCCAGATACGCACGCGCTCCTCAAGCAAATCCACCCGCCCCCCGGGCTTGACACGAAATTATGCAAACGGAAAATTTCTCAACGAAAGCGAACGGCTTCTGCAACGGCTTCTGCAACTGCGAACGTTCAGATTTGAGCTCGAGGGACGTTGGTATGAAACGGACGGTCGAGACTGAGTGTGGTCAAGAGAGCGGAATTTTAGTCGTGGTTGGGAAGTTCAATTTTTCCGGTAACTCAGCTGGCAAAAGGTGCAATCGAGGTTCTGCGGAGACCTTTTCGAACTTCAGTTGTGGAAGCTGACTTGCAGCACAACTGGCCCAATCTACGGGAGAGGATTCTGGCATAGGAACCACGATTTATGATATCTGGGACGATTTAAGGATGATCACAAGGGAAGTTTGGTAATTTCTGGTCTGAGAAGGCAATCACACAGCTCCGAGCTTGAACCACTCTTCAGCAACTTCGACTCTCTGAGCAAGCAGAACGCGAACAGCCTTCATACCCCGCGCCTTTATTCCTCGGGTTCGTCTCACATCCCCCCCTTGACTGAATTTCTTCACTTCCCTTCCCTTGATTTCCATTCTTTCTTTCCCTCTGTTCCCCCTCATGCAAACGGCGTCGAGCACTTCTTCCACTAAAAAAACCGCTTAAAAGGTCGCGAAATCGACCCCCTTTGCGTCTTTTTGATTTTCCAACTTCCATGAGAGGAGTCTTTAAACTCACGGGTTTGGCGACGCCGGGAAGTCCGTGAAGCAGTTGACGTTGGCGCCCGTGTTGAAAACCGGGGACGAAGAAGGGGAGCCGCTGGTGGGTGCGTTTGTGGGGGGGTTGGTTGTGGGGGCAGTCGTGGGGGCAGTTGTGGGCGCACTTGTGGGGGGGGCATTTGTGGGGCCACTCGTCGGGGGGGGGT